ACAAAAGGCAAGGGGCTGCTCAGCTCACAAAGCTGCTAACACTGCTTTGAATGCAGTGCACAGGGAGAGAGAGGGAGAGCACAGGAAGCCACAATCTTAATCATTTCTCTCAGACCCAAACAGTATTTTTTTTTGTAATTATCAAATAGATAGAACATTATTTGAACGGTATGTTTAACAAAACAACCACAAAAGGAGCAAATAAGAAGGAAAAGTTCATTGTTAGGGTTTACATACAATTTAAAGGAGAACTATGAGGTGAGTGCTTTTCACTCACCTCATAGTTCTAGCCGACCTGTGACAATGAGACTGTCGCAGGTCGGCTCAGTAAATCGAGAAGTGAGCGAACACATACTGGCGTTTGCTCACTTCTCGATCCTGTCACAGCTCTCTGCCGTGACAGGGGAGGTGCTGGATTCCCCTCTCCCCGCTCAAATCCGCCAGCGCTGACTGGCGGAACGAACAGGGGAGGGGGCGGGTACAGCTGGCTCTGCCTCTAGATAGGCAGAGCCAGCTGTCACTCACGCAGCTGGGCGGATCTCGACATCGATGTGGCGTCTCAGTATACCGCAAGCTGTAGCTCGCGGTATACTGAGCCTAGGGTGACGGGAGGACGCTAGTTTGTGTCCTCCCGTTACCCTAAGGAGAACTATGGGGAAAAGTCCAGACCCCATAGTTCTCCTTTTAAATATAAGCAATTTAATGTGTCAAGTTATTAAATACCAAACATGTAAATCCTCAGAATTGTGCATCCAGCGAAAGTGCAAAAAACGACAGCACCCAAAATTATCAGTAGGTGAGGGTTTAAAAACATAAAAGAGCCCATTCACACGTGCGTTGTTGCAACGTGTGTGTGTTATGTCCTTTTGCTGCATCAGATGACAATGCATCTGCATTGTGAATGGCACCCCAACACTTTGTACATTAAAGCCCAACATACTGCAGTGCACCAAAATCCATATACTGAGCATTGTGGTGCACTGTTTAAAAAAAAAAAAAAAAAAGAGACACACAGTATACTTTCATTTATTCATCTGTTGTGGTGTGTTGCCAGCCCATTCATAATAAATAGGCTTGCCTTAAAAGAACACACGTTCACGATTGCGTTACTACACCACAACGGATTGCTTAAGTGAGAATTTAGTATAACTGGGGCACTAGAATTATTCTTCTCACTCTGGATCACAAGAATACTTAATATGTGTTGCACAAACAGGCACTCGTGTGTGAATTCATTCACATTATGTTTGAATGTGGGTTTTGGGACCCCTACAGCAGGAACCTACGAATTCCTGCGGTTAGAATTCCAAATATGCCATGTAGAAGTGGCTGCTGCCACCCGTTCAAATTAATGATTGGGTGACAGCGGCAGTGTTTGAAAGTGGTACTTCGCATGTAATCATATATGATACCATTAAATGTGGTTGGGAATAAATCACTATCCCTGGGGACACAATCCATGCGTTCTGGGGCTGTGATCTATTGTAAACCAAATGTAATCATATCACATATGATTACATGTGGAGTAACACATTCAAATGTGACTGCTGTCACCTGATGATTAACTTGAACGGATGACAGCGGCCTCTTCTAAACAGCATATTTGGGATTCCTGCTGCAGAAATCCCAAAATGCATTTTCACTTTTGGTGTGAATGGAGCTTTTAGTGCGCATATGTGTGCACAGGGGTCTTTTAACATGGTTTTTCTTTTATTATGCTTATAATTTTATTATACATTTTTTATATTTTTCACTTTGATTACAACAGGGTTTGTAACTACTATGTGATTAGTACATTGGGATGACAGGTACACACTTTTCAGCCACTCGAAAACACTTCTACATTGTACAGCAGAACCACCATTAAGAAAATATAAACAAGCTCATGACTGTTATTGTGGCCATGAGCTTTTGTACATCCAGACCAAAAAAAACTGACAAGGCTGATAACTATTGTCTACGCCCATCCAACCAAATCTAAAAAAAAAGGTTTTGTCTTCATATATACCATCTTGTCCTGAATTGTATTATGATTGTAATGTCTTCCTTATATTGTAAAGCGCTGTGCAAATTGTTGGCGCTATATAAATCCTGTATAATAATTATAATAATAACAATATACTTTAATCCAAATTGTAAAAAACACTTGCAACAGGGTGGCTTTTCGGAGTCTCTAATCTAATTTCCCTACCACATTCATACAAATGTTCACTCATAAATGGGGCAGTCTAACCTGCCAGTCTATATTTACATTTTAGAAAGAAATGGACAACAAAAGTTAACCAAAAAATATGGGGAATAGATAAATACCCCCATATGTAATATAGAGTTTCTTTAGTGAAACCCAAACCCAGGGCTCAGCGTGCTAACAATCCTAGCCATCATGATATTTTTAAAAATCTTTTGGCTATGCATAATTTTTTTTTTTTTTTTAAATATGAACTGAATATTTTAACAGTTAAGTAGGATGGGTTGGATACATCAATTGTACTGTGTTTTCCCACATAGGAAACACAACATACACAAGTAATAGGAAAGTCTGCCACTCTTTGTTAAGGTATTGAAAATTGTATGTAGCACACCGATCAGTACAGATTTAATTAAAATGTGGATAAAGTTCCTACCTGACTCTGCTGACATCCCATTCAAAAAACACCAATGAATACACAAAGCCTCAATGTGGAATTGCTAAATCTCTGGAAACCAGTTAAAACTGAAGAGGAGAGGTTCAAACCTTAAGGCCTGGTTCACACCTGTGCGTTTTGTAGCGCGTTCAACGCTCTACGAAACGCTCAAACATGAAAATCCCATTGTTTTCTATGGGTATGGTTCACACCTTGCCGTATTTCAGCCCGTCTGAACGCGCTACAAAACGGCCTACGCCTGAAAAGGTACATGAGCTTCTTTGCGGCGTTTTTGTCGCGCGTTTCCATTGGGATACAGCCAAGTAGTCCTCGGAAACACGCGTTTTTTTAACCGCGAATTGCGGTAAAAACGCGCGTCACGAAATGCGCATATTCGATACGCCTAGGTGTGAACAGAGCCTTAAGACATCACGCACCAGGAATGCAAATGGAATCTGCAATGAAAAGATCCTATAAAGCAAATGACAGTCTTCACATACTATATCAACTGCATGTCTTGTTTAGAATTGGGCAGTTTCACCAAGCTTCAGCCTAGTTGTAATATCTACTGTAGATTATTTAAGTCTTTATGTTAACGTTACTTGTCTTTATACATTTCAAAAATGAAAATATTTGCTAGCAGAGATTCAATTGTACAGGCTTGTGCAGTCTTGATTTACTTTTGGAAGTTGTGATGTTTCTGCATGAGAAATCCTAGTATCGAATGAAAGTGGAAACATATAAAAGTCCTAGATTGTGTAAACATTGAAAGCTGCAGAGTCCAGTGACTCAGTAAAAACTATGTTACATTGTCTGGAAATCTTAATGATCGCATCCATGCACTCATCTTGCAATTTCAGAAGCAAAGTTTTTTTCCCCCCTAAGGGGATCCCACCATAATTTCAAAATCTTCGAAAACTTTCTAGTAAAAAATATATATTTATTTAATGGATTCTTTTAAAATGCACACATATCAAAAAACAAACATACATATATTACATATAGGACAATCTACGGCTAAATGTAGAAAGTGTGGTTGAAAAAATATATACATATATATAAATGAGATATTTGGCACGCCTCCTGAATACCTTAATAAAGTATATATAATTTTGTGTGCATTCTCTTATCTACAAAGATATTCCCTCAAAGAGTGGAGAGAGATATTAATTCCTCTAGCGCAGGAACGGGTTAACATACACGTGTATGAAAAAAGTGAGCAAAAAGGTTCAAAAAACAAAACCGTTCATGTAATTGTATAAAGATCTTTGATAGCACTCACAGTGATGTTTGTCCGTTTCTTGGAGAAACCTAAAGTCCAGAGACCAATTTCCACTTGCACACCGGACCACACTATAAACAAGCTATGTTAAGGAGAGAGGATATCCTATCTCGGCTTTTCATATATCAACGGTAGATGCGGTTAGCCTTTGCTGAGAAAATATCCTTATCTCGGCCTTTCAAATATCAACAGTAAATGCGGTTGGTCTTTACTGAACCTTAGCTCCTGTTTGTGCAATGTCCGCATCCAGAGCAGGATGAAATCCCATCAATTGGGTCAATGGTCCATCGGTTAGTGCTGGTCTTAGGTGGTCCTCGACTTGTATGTTTCAACGACCATGCGTTATTGGAAGAGTTTCTCTCTCGGTTTAACAATTCTTCGATATATCCATGGAGGTAGTTCAGACAAGGGCGGCCATAGCATAGCATAACGAATAACAGGGGACCCACCATGATGGTATACACCTTTTTTCTGTTATATACTGTATACTTCATAAACCTTCCTTCCCCTTTTATATGTTTGCATCTTGCAATTTCACTGTTCATGCGTGCAGCTGTGTTCTAGCTTGTCCCTCCGAGTACAGCTATTCTTTAAATTTTTATGATTGCTGTCCCCCTTATATTTACCAGCAGCTAGGTAGTACAATGGCCTGCCTGATTGAGTGAAATTAATGAATTGTTTGGGCAAGCCCTCAGTAGATTGTACATCACCTTCTTGTTTCATAATTGATGTGTGTAGTCTGCTCAGAGACACATGATCAACAAGCAATGAGTCACACTCAATACATGACTTTGTGACATTTAAAAAGATAAAAGCTGTATTTGTCAGGGAATTCCATGCATCAATCCTTAACACAAGCTACAGTATATATTATAATATTTGGTATATCTATAGAATATTGATCAATGTGATGGTTGTGATCCATTTATCAACTTCATTCTGCCCTATATAATATACAAAAAAATAGATCAAATACTTTTGTTTATATAAATTTTCCCCCAGAATGGAGGATCTTTTGCTGACCGCAGTAATACCTTTAGTACTTTATTTTCACTTTGTAATCACTTGTCCTTTTTTGTTTTGTTTTTTTCTAGGGTAACATGACCAAAATGGAGGGTAAAACTTCACTTCTAGACAACATGATAGGTGTGGGCGACATGGTGCTTTTAGAACCTCTCAATGAAGAAGCTTTTATTGACAACCTCAAAAACCGTTTTGATCACAATGAAATCTATGTAAGTATATATTGTATCATTGCTAATTTTAGTTTTATTTATTTCTACATGTGTCAGGTCCGGTATTCCTATGTCTTGAAATCTTCCTGTCATAATTTCCAAGTATTTATCTGATCGCTTAGGATTTTTTAGTCCGTCTGACTTTGTTGTAATTTGTATCATACAACATTTCTATCATACAAAATATATAAAAATTTTGCGAGAATCTAAACCCAGGATCTTGAATGTACTGATCTCACCAAGAAAGTTCCTGGGAGATGCAAGAAATTGAGGAGTAGTGTAGTGTTACATCATTTGGTTGGGTAGACTGACTCTCTTATGTTGTAAGACTCAAAGCAGCAGCCATCTTGTATTCTTACTATCTGTCATATTATGACAAACGGAGATTTAAAATGAAATCCAAGTTTGCATAGTAGTGGCTGGGGTGTTTCTATACTTGTACAATATAGAACACCGTTTTCCAAAAAAACCCTCCTCCAGCAATGCAATGTCCACAATCTCATTGCTCCATCACCATCAATGACCCTGTCTTCTTTTTGGTTGGGCGTCTTTGGCCATATTGATAGGCTGTCACAGGATGATATAACTCTTGTGCATGCACATGAGTTATTTTCCCATACCGCAAGGCATGCTGAAACTGTGCACTGAGCGGAAGAAAAATGCTATCAGGCTAGGTAGAAGCTTTTATGTTAGAAGAGGCATACAGACTCTCCTCTGAAATATGAGCCTGATTGATAGCACTAAAAAAAAGACCTTAGTTTAACTTAAACACAAATCTATTTTCTGTCTATTATGGAATTGCTTAGTTCTAAAGACAAGTTCTTGTATTTTTAAACTTTTTATGTATATATAATATTTTTCAGTAAAACTGGCTAAGCCATCTAGTTTTCTTTATCATGACATGGTAGTGAATATTTCTGCCCTGGTCATATTTATTTCCTTCAAACCTGTCATTTGTTGGAAGCATGTGTGCATGCGAAGAACAAAGCATCATATAGCTACAGGTTAGCGCTCTTGCACATTGTTCTTTATTTTACTGAAAAAGCAAAGACAGGATTTGTGTAAAAAATAGATACATTATGAACATGTAAAAGGATAGTAAGAACAGAAAGCCTTAGGGCTTCCCAGTCATATCTCCATTTACATTGTTATTAATCCTTATTCAGTAAGTTTTTTTTTTTCTTTTGGTGTATATTGAGTTAGATTGCACTTTTTTATTTTAATGCCTAACTCCGAATCCAAAAGACTCACCAGTATTACAGCAGTTATACATTCTGTTTGCAGAAAAGAAGCCTCCTGTCCTGCTGGCTTTAGTCTACAGCTGTTACATCTGTTCTTTTACATGCAGCTCCCATTGTACTTCCATGTCTGCTCGGATATAAGAGATGTAGGTCTCATAGACCCTGTGTATCTCTGCCACCCTCTTCTCCGGGCCATTCATAAAATGGAAACAAGGGCTGTATGTTTTGTGAACAGGAGGAGAAGGGAGTGGTGAAGCAACAGAAATGCTGAGTGGTAAGAGACCTGTAGCGCTTACATCCCCATGTAAGGTCTGGTTCAAACCTCCAGACCAGTGCATTTTTTTATCTGCAACAAAAATGAATACACAGTTATTACAATGGTTTTAAATTATGCTAGTTCATACCATTGTGTTCAGTTCCAGCGTTTTTTTAAAAGAAAATACAGCAGCATGCTTTTTTTTCTGCACTGGTATGCACATAAATGCATGTAAATGCACCAGAATGCACAGGAAAACACTTAAACCCAAGCAAAACCAATAAAAAAACACATTTCAAAAACGTGCATAAATGCATATCCAGAAATGTATTCATGACTGGTCTGGAGATGGTGTGAACATGCCCTCAAGGAACAGATTTGACAGTTGTAGAATAAAGCCAGCGGGACAGAAGTTACTTTTTTCCTGACAACTGAATGTATAACTGTTGTAATACTGGTGAGGTTTTTGTGCCCTGGAGGTGGGTTTTAAAGTGGATCTTTACCCCTTTTCACTAAGTCATAACAGCATGCTGCTATGAAATCATCTTCTATTCATTAGCTAAATTAATTATTATTTTCATTCTACTTACAATCTTTTGTTTTCTAATTCCTGCTTCTGTTTGTTACAAATGATGTAATAGTGTCCAAGCATTGCATCCTGGGAAAGTTAAATCAGTAACCTGTATTAAGAAGGGGATGTTTTGCAGGGACAAGTCTATAATTGTGCCACTTTACACATCACTGGTTTGGCCTCATCTGGAGTATGCGGTCCAGTTTTGGTCACCAGTCCACAGAAAGGATGTCCTTGAGCTGGAAAACAGTCCAGCGGAGGGCAACCAAACTCATTAGGGGAATGGAGGACCAGAGCTATGAGACAAGGCTAATACATTTACATATGTTCACGTTAGAAGTAAGGAGATTAAGGGGGGGACATGATTTTCATGTACAAAATGTTCAATGGTCATAGCAACATTAGCCACAAACTCTTTACGATTAACTCCATAACAAAGACATAACATAACCTAAAATTAGTGGGGAAAAAATTCCAGCACAAGGGGCGAAGGGAGTTCTTCTCAGTTAAAGTGGTTAGGGTTTGGAACTCGCTGCCACAGGCCGTGATTTCAGCAAAGAGTGTGGAATCATTCAAGAAGCTTTTGGACGATTTCCTGAGAGACCACAATGTACAGGGGTACAGGTACTCTTAAGAATGAGATGACAAAAGGGACCTACACATACGCACACATAATCAATAGGTTGGACTGGATGGACTTATGTCTTTATTCAACCTCAAATACTATATAACTATGTAACTATGTAAGTAGAGCATTGTTGATAAATCTCATCTGTAATCTCATGAGATCTCAGGGAAAGGCATTTTTCTCCCTTGAGATGATGTGCATGGTCACATGTCCTAGTCACATGTGCCAGAGTTCCAGGAAGTAAAGGAGAAAAATAGGGGGGGAGGGAAAACAAATAAGGTATGCAAAGAATACAAAGCCTAAAATTATCTAGAAGTATGTGTTTGTAGATTGTCATTACTAAACATTTCTAAAGTTGTCTTTGTTGTCATTTTGATGATATGGGAAAAGAAGTTCCTCTTTTAAGTATACAGAATAAAAGTACTGAACATATGTAACAATAACACGCTTTATCTGGAAACTCAAGTCTCTTTTACAGCATGCTTTTCAATGTTTTAAACACATGGCTACTTTGTACATTTTAATAAAACTTGTTCTCTCCTTTTATCCTCTAAAACTGGCCATCCACCAATACATTTTTGTTTCGTTCAGTCTGCTAGCTGAATTTAAAAAAATCGAGCAGATTCCTCCTTCCATGCTAAACGGCATAGACAAACACATTTTCTACCGTGACTATTGTATTCTGACAGCAGGTGCCTGCCACTGTCAGCATACATGAACAGTGATTTGAACTGATTGGCTGTAGTCACTGTTCAACCAAAGTTTTTTGGCACGACTCCTTCCACAAAAGTTGAGAAAGGTATTTTTGTCAAGCTGGCAGGGCCTCCCACTAGAAGAATTTTGTCAGATTACTATGAATTGGCCAGCCTTACTTTGACTCTACGTCTCTCACTTACTAGTGCTTTACATTTGTCAGTTTCTCTACTTATCTGGGCTCATCACACTTCCATACACCTCAAAATGTTCTCTTTTTTGTTGTTGTTGTTGTTAATATACAGTCTAAATCACCATCTTTCACAGCAAAGCTACTCTTCTCGGTCTTCTCCTTTTTGTATAGTTGTATCTAACCCCATCCATTTTCATTCTCTGGCTGCCACAGGCAATAATACCTGGAGCATCTGTTTCAGAAAACTGTACCTGTGTACTATCCACAAGAAGGAACATTTTGGCTCCTTATACCATCCTTTAGTGTCCTACTTTCAGAACTTTGCTTAACTTTCCCCATGGAAATAGATACATTGCTAAAGATTTTATTTTTGCATATTTTGTTGTACTTGTTTTTGTTATGTAGATATTAGATGATCCTTTTTATTTTAGATTGGTGGTGATTTTTATGTCTATGGGGAGCTCCCAAGCCTACTATTTTTGCAGGGGACAATAGTCAAAAAGGTTAGAAGGTTTGCCCAGATTGCTCTTGTTTACCTTTTTGAGATTACAAGTGTGGCTGCATCTGTCAGCATTGCTCATCTCCTCTCCTTTCTAAAGACAGGAATGGAAATGCTCTTCATAGAGCTGGTGGCAGTTGGATGTGCATGTACAACCAACTTCCGCCTATGGCTGAAGGGTGGACTGGGTCACACACCAGTAGAATTTTGTTTGAAAATAATTCAGTTTTGGAACGTTTGTTCAAATTTCTAAGAGTTAAGGGGTCGAAATGGCAATCACAACCGAATGGAACATTTTTCTCAAATGAAATACAGTGAATGTGTTTTAATTCATTCCAAAACCAAATGTTAAAATTTAAACAGAATTTTGAACAATATTGATCAGGTGGCATTATTGAATGTTCTGACAAGATCTTTCATATGAACGTTCATGCTAAAATCCACCAGTGTATAGCCAGCTTTATAAATCCACTATTTAATGCTTTATCAGGTAACACATTAGTCCACCAAGGCATAAATTATCATCTTTTGAGCCCATGGGCCCATGTCAACTAGGCTTGTTGATGGCATCAGATTGATATCAGTTTAAAAAGCTCCTGGGATAATTAAGAATTCATTGACCGTAGGTATGGTCTCGGGTTCAGACCATAACCAGTCCAAACTTAAGCTTCTCCAAAGAAGCTGCGGTACGGGCATTCCCTGCCCCATAGCTGCAAGTAAACAAAGGAAAAGGATGTTTATGTTGA